GTAGGGATTTTGTACTGATGAAGAGTCCCAAACTAGGACGAAATAGCTGTCCAGTACTCCCAGCTTTTCAATGGTTCTCTAACTGATGTCAGCTCATGATGAAATCCTGTAAACATTAATGTTGTTGTTAATAACACTAATTCATTCATTCACTATTATGGACGCATATATAACTATAGAACCTGATGATGAAGAGCAGGTTATCGAAAAGAATATTCTTTTTTCAGTAGCCATTCTTCTGAAAAGAAAAAAAACTAATCTTCAATCGTTCGTTACGTCATCAGTCTTAGTCAGTCATTTATTTCCTGATTACTATTTTTATTTTTCTAAAAATTATACATTGCATTATTCACCTTGTTTAATTTCTGCAAAAATGTTCTACCCTCAAAAATTGTGTGTATTGATTTTTTCTTGGTTAATTATAACCTCCACCTTCTTGACATGTTTTAATACTGACTAATTAGCGTTAAAACAAACTTGTCACCACTAGATTGGTAAAATTCTGTATTGTGTTAACATTGCCACACATATGTGTATATTTCATCATCACCAGAGTAGTTCAATAGACGAAGGTCGAACTGAAAGTAAATGTTTCTTCATTCAATCTAAATCCTTTTGTTAACTAAATAAAATATGAGCATAAATCACCGAAAATACCTGTGGAGTCATTATGCAGATCACTGAGGAAAACTTTCTTTACAGCTGAGCTACATATCAATCTGTACAGCCGACAAATGATCAATGGATATGTGAAGGATAAATTGCCGCTTTGGGCCACCTTAATGTATGTCTATAAATTCACCTGCTCGGGTGGAGCTACTTATATTGGCCACCCGCACAAAGTGCACACTTTCCCAACGCATCTCTGAACATTATCCAGCATGGTTAGCAAAAGCACAATGCAAGACAGTTTCTAGATCAATTCTCGAGCACTTGATGAACTCAAGCATCACTAGAGTCGTCTTTCAAGATCATCTACAAGGTGAGGCTAAATGGTACAAAGGGCATCAGGTTTCAGCTTTTGTGTATGGCGGATGTGCTGGCAATTCGTCAATACAACCCCGAAGTCTGTATATAGAGGAGGTTTGTCCAGTCTCTTATTCTACCATGGTCTTAACCTCTTCACTAGTCATTTCCTGCAAGATTTTCAATTTCATTTTTAGTTTGCTTTAACTTTAATAATTAATTCACTATTATCACTCTCGCATGTTCCTTTTGAACATTTTCTCACCCTCTTGACACTTGTTAAATTGACACTCAACTACCTACCACCTTCTCACTCAATAACAATTTTAACCTTATCAAATTTCTAACCCTTTCTTCCTTTGTGCCATTGTTGAGTACTACGTAATTTACAATTTTTATTTTTATTTTTAAAGCCACTTCTGAGTAATTATATCAATTATGTCACCCTGCTCCCCTATTACTCAATAATAGACTACTATACATTTTTGGAAAAAATATAAATACGATTGTACGTCAGCGTCTGAAGATGATTTCGTCGATAAAGAAAATTTTCTTCGCTGAATATGACCATAAATCCGTATTATTATAATTAGTGAAATGATAACCTAACTTAGCAGTTACGTCTCTCTGTTAGCGTCCATTTGAGACAGATCACATCAGGCCGGTAATCCATAGGCTAATTAGTTCAAATTACATTGAGATGTAAGATTTTTCAATTCCCCTTTAATCATATAAAAAATTATAAAGATAGAGAGAGATCACTAAAAACCAGGGGCAGCACTACATGATAACTGTTTCGTCCTATTTTTGGACTCTTCACCAGTGCACATCCACGACCTCATGGTCAAAGATTAAATCGTTAAGCTTTAAATCATTAAATCAAGATTTTCAAGAGCTGGTTTGTAAGGATTAGATTTGTTTTTACGAGTTTGACCACGGATTGATATCAGTTAGAGAAACATTGAAAACCAGGGAGTACTGGATCTCCTACCGATGACATTGGTTGGTGCCAGTCACGCTAAATCACGAATTGGTAGAACTGAGAATTAATGGGCTGTGGCCATCGACGAGTCGGGTCCCAGTGGATGAATGGTATACGAACTAACTTGACTTGTAACCGGAAGGTCCTGGGTTCGAACCCTTCCCATGATTCCCAAACTAGGCTGATGAAACAGCTGTCTGGCGGTATTCCACTGCTGGTTTTCAATGGTTCTCTAACTGATATCGATCCGTGCGTGGTCATACACGTAAACCAAGATTGTTGGTCATTTAACAACCGTCTGGGCCATAATTTAATGAACTATGCATTCTAACTTTGTCAATTCATGATATTTAAGGAATAAGCGAGTGCTCAAGTTGATTACGTAACAGATTGTTAAGGAAAAAGAAAAAGGATTTGGACAATGATAACTTGTGATTACAGATGAAGTAGTCAGAAAAATAATCAAATAATTTGGACAATTATAATTTCGAAAAGGCTATATTAACCAAGAAACATAGGGAAACCCTAGATAAGCTGCGAAAGAATGAGAATATAATTAATTACTAAACTTGATTCAAGTTCTCGAGTGGTAATCGTGCATAAGACAGAATATACCTAGATAGGATGAATGGGGTACTCACTCAGTGATGACCAAAAACATTTAGAAAATTTCATCTTCTATTGATCCGACTGAAAAAGTTGAGAAACAACTCATCGAGTCACTTAAAAAACACTTAAACAACAAAGTAGCATCACAGAAAAGGTTTATATGGATCTCTGAAGCCTACTGGTACGGTTACACCAAGATTATATGGGTTACCAAAAAGTGCAAAAACTGGTTTGCCACTTCGACCAGTGTTGGACATGTGTAATTCCCCATACCATGCAACAGCAAAATGGCTAGTGAAGCTCATGAAACCTCTGCATAATGGATTGGTAAAACATAGTGTAAACGGTAGTTTTGAATTTGTCGAAAAAAGAAAAGAGATCCTTATGTGAATGACAAGTTTATGATATCTTTTGATGTATCTTCGTTGTTCACCAATGTACTGTTGATTGAGACAGTGCATTTTATATGTGATGAGATTACTAAGCATATACAGACATCAGCATTTTTGTATCCTCCTTGAAGGAACTTATTTTAAGATGTACAATGAATGTTCATTTCTTATTCAACAAGTAATACTATAGATAAACTGATGGTGTGTGTGGCTATGACTTCCCCTTTCGATCCAATCCTAGCTGATTTTTTCCTCTCTAAGTTAGAGAATGGGCCAATGAAAGGAGTAATTATAATGAGTTGAAATTCTGCTGTCGATATATGGATGATACATTTCTGGTTATTAAAAACGAGAATGAAATAATGAACATCCTTGACAAGTTTAATGATGCGCATACAACAATAAACTTCACCATATAGAAAAAAGGTATTATAACAGTATCTCATTCCTAGCCGTCTTCCTGGCAGGGAAAGAAGATGGCACACTAAGAAGGAGTGTGTATAGGAAACCTACAACAACAGGTTGGTACACTCATGTTTTGAGTTTTGCACCCTAGAAAGACAGATGTAACTGAGTAAAGTGTCTGGTTCATAGAGCTAGGATAATCTGTTCAAACGACTTCCTGGATGAGGAGTTTAAGATTATTAAAGAATTACTCAGTAAAAATGGTTATCCAGATAAGTTCATTGAGAAAAGTATGAATTTAGCACCATGGAGAATCAATATAACAACAGCTCCAAAAACACAACCATTCTTTATATAACTGCAGTTCTTCGGTGATAACATCAGCGAACGCCTGAATGCATTTAAGAGAGCTTTCAATGTAATAGAGTTACGTTGTCTGTTCACTACCACCTCCATTTTACGTTCAAGAAATAAAGACAAACTGCCTAATATTGCCACTTCTATGTGTATCTACCAGTTTGACTGCAGCTGCGAAGCCAGCTACATTGGGCGTACAATTAGGCAAATTCATCATCGTATTTCCGAACATCATCCTGCATAGTGGTTAAGCGAGGGACAAACAAGATCTATTCATAGCTTTGTTTTAGCACACCTTGTGGATAGTGAGCATAAGGTTGATATTAATACAGCATTTAAAGTTATTTATCGCATTCCCATTAATCTTAATTTTGCTTTACGAGTTAGTCTTCTGTATACCTACAGCTGAAGCCATAGGAATCCACCTCAAGCAGAAGAAGCCAAACCTGTGTGTCCAGAAGAAATTTGTACAACCACTTTCCTTACACATTGGCCATCGTTACATGAATGTATAAACCCGACCTTCCAGTTATGCGGCAAACTCATTTACCACAAAGCCATTGGGACCCGACTCAATGACTAGCCCATGTGCGTCCGTGGCACAGTGGTTAGGACTCTCGCCGACCATGCACATAGTACGGGGTTTGATCCCCTACCGACGCACACCTGATATCAATGGTCGGCCTGCAAAATTCGGGCTACCGACATCACATGCTGAAAATTCCATACTTGTACCAAAAGTACTGTGTCGAATCAAGCTATAATAAAAAAAATTCGTGATTTGGCGCGACCACAAACCAATGTCATAGGAGGGGCATCCATCCTCACACCTGACTGGATGAACCTCACTGGTCACGATTTCTCACTAGAACTCCAGGAAACTCCGTCCTGTAGCCAGCCAGTCACTAGCGATCATCAGATTAATTTTCAATAATTGGTTTGTAAGGATTAGATTTGCTTCGATAAGTTTGACCACGCATTGATTGATATCAGTTAGAGAACCATTGAAAACCAGCACTGGAATACTGGATAGACAGCTGTTTCATCAGCCTAGTTTGGGAATCATCGGCAGTAGGCACCTACCTTCCGGTTACAAGGCAAACTCGTATACCTTTTAATCCGTGATATAGAGCTGTACAGGTCCACTACCAGTCAACCAATGGCCTTCGATTAGGATTCCCTTTATTTTGACATGACAGACTCCCAACCCCTCTATCCACTGGTGTCAGGAGTATATAGTCAAAAAGAAAAGAACAGAAGACAACAACAACACCAACAACACAACTCACTTGTAATGATAAAGACGAAGATGTAGACGAGTCCTCAGCAGTTTGTTCATCAATTGTCTGAAAACTTTTAATTAATTCTGACCATTTAATTAACATATTTCTATACATTGGTATTTCTATACTATTCACCTCCTTAGAATGTCGCCTTCTTTCAATAAATATTGGTTCATAATAATTTAACCAGGAGTTGAAAATTGATTCAATAGTGTTTTGATCAGGTTCATAGGTGAATATTTGCCTCGGCTCCTGCTGCAGTTGTTGTTGCTGCTGCTGTTGCTGTTGAGTATAATGATATGCAGGATATTGACTAGGTGGTGGACATTGTCTAAGCATTGACCAATCCGATGATAATTCGTGCTGTAGTAATGAATGTTGTTGTTGGTATATCGGTCTTGTTTGCGATGGTGGTGGGCCACCGCCGCCTCTATGCATACGCAGGGGTGTTGATCCTGTTGGTGGGTAGTAGTGAAGTGGTACGTTTGTATCCCATGTAGGCGAATGAGATGGACGAAGAGGAGGCGGCAGTGGCGGCGGCGGCGGCGGAGGGCGACAAGGATAGCGACTAGAAGACATTGATGTAGGCCTATACCTTGTAGATGGTGGATGCATTGAAGCATTCATATACGGTGGCGGTATTGGTTTTATAAATCGTGGCCGGTTGTAATTCGGCATTTCTTCTCAGCAGCAATAATAATAATAACCAGTCGTCAGTCACCTTGGTAAAATGGGCTGTAAAATGAAAAATACTCAAAGTTAGGCAAAATTTATACAAAACAAACTTAATGACAATCAATTAGAACTGGAAAAACATTAATCCCGCTTAAAATTACGAATATATATATATATATATATATATATATATATATCTGAAGAAGATGCATCGGCTGACTGGCTCCCCGAAGGCCGGCTTTCACCAGCCCGCGTCATTTCACCTCTCCGATTCGAGCGAAGAATAAGTTGTATTCTTTCGTCTTTAATTTTCGATGAAAGCAAGAATAAGAATGGGCACATCAAAGTCAGAATCGGAAGGACAAGATTGCAATGCCTTCACTAACCTGCAACCACTTTGCAAATCTTCGGCTCCACTCACTCACTTAGTCAGTCAACCAAACAGCCAGCATAAAGAACAAGATTCGGATTCTATTCAACACAAATGTCAAGTCAATCAGTCAGTCAGTGAGTTCTTCTATGCGGGTGAGAAACTTGCACTGCACGTGAGTCAGTCACGAAAAGCATTTGCAACAGGCTAGTGAAGACTTTTGTCAGCAGTTGCCGACTTCGTTGGCTGGCTGGCTCCATACTCAAGATCAAATGGTTGGATGGCCAGAAAGAATAAGCAAGAAGAAACACTTTTTGATTGAACACTAGTCAGTAACTAGTGTAATGTGTCTAGTCCTATCTTCGGTGCAGACTGAATTCTATCAGTCATGTTTGTAATGTGGCCACCATGCTAGGTGGCTCGCCATTACGGTGCACTGTGAATTATTGGTATTAGATGGTTGGAGGCAATCGGCAGGAAGCCTTGGACCTAGGTTTCGTGCTAGTTGGCACTCATCAGCAAGGCGTATCTGCAACCTTGAAGGAACTGATGTCCCTTCTGAGATTCGAACCCGCGTCACCCAGTGCTGCAGTCAGAGACGTTACCACTGAGCTATTCAGGCTCGCGACTGACCTCCTGTAGGACCGTATTGGATATTTTTGATTGAACACTAGTCAGTAACTAGTGTAATGTGTCTAGTCCTATCTTCGGTGCAGACTGAATTCTATCAGTCATGTTTGTAATGTGGCCACCATGCTAGGTGGCTCGCCATTACGGTGCACTGTGAATTATTGGTATTAGATGGTTGGAGGCAATCGGCAGGAAGCCTTGGACCTAGGTTTCGTGCTAGTTGGCACTCATCAGCAAGGCGTATCTGCAACCTTGAAGGAACTGATGTCCCTTCTGAGATTCGAACCCGCGTCACCCAGTGCTGCAGTCAGAGACGTTACCACTGAGCTATTCAGGCTCGCGACTGACCTCCTGTAGGACCGTATTGGATATTTTTGATTGAACACTAGTCAGTAACTAGTGTAATGTGTCTAGTCCTATCTTCGGTGCAGACTGAATTCTATCAGTCATGTTTGTAATGTGGCCATCATGCTAGGTGGCTCGCCATTACGGTGCACTGTGAATTATTGGTATTAGATGGTTGGAGGCAATCGGCAGGAAGCCTTGGACCTAGGTTTCGTGCTAGTTGGCACTCATCAGCAAGGCGTATCTGCAACCTTGAAGGAACTGATGTCCCTTCTGAGATTCGAACCCGCGTCACCCAGTGCTGCAGTCAGAGACGTTACCACTGAGCTATTCAGGCTCGCGACTGACCTCCTGTAGGACCGTATTGGATATTTTTGATTGAACACTAGTCAGTAACTAGTGTAATGTGTCTAGTCCTATCTTCGGTGCAGACTGAATTCTATCAGTCATGTTTGTAATGTGGCCACCATGCTAGGTGGCTCGCCATTACGGTGCACTGTGAATTATTGGTATTAGATGGTTGGAGGCAATCGGCAGGAAGCCTTGGACCTAGGTTTCGTGCTAGTTGGCACTCATCAGCAAGGCGTATCTGCAACCTTGAAGGAACTGATGTCCCTTCTGAGATTCGAACCCGCGTCACCCAGTGCTGCAGTCAGAGACGTTACCACTGAGCTATTCAGGCTCGCGACTGACCTCCTGTAGGACCGTATTGGATATTTTTGATTGAACACTAGTCAGTAACTAGTGTAATGTGTCTAGTCCTATCTTCGGTGCAGACTGAATTCTATCAGTCATGTTTGTAATGTGGCCACCATGCTAGGTGGCTCGCCATTACGGTGCACTGTGAATTATTGGTATTAGATGGTTGGAGGCAATCGGCAGGAAGCCTTGGACCTAGGTTTCGTGCTAGTTGGCACTCATCAGCAAGGCGTATCTGCAACCTTGAAGGAACTGATGTCCCTTCTGAGATTCGAACCCGCGTCACCCAGTGCTGCAGTCAGAGACGTTACCACTGAGCTATTCAGGCTCGCGACTGACCTCCTGTAGGACCGTATTGGATATTTTTGATTGAACACTAGTCAGTAACTAGTGTAATGTGTCTAGTCCTATCTTCGGTGCAGACTGAATTCTATCAGTCATGTTTGTAATGTGGCCACCATGCTAGGTGGCTCGCCATTACGGTGCACTGTGAATTATTGGTATTAGATGGTTGGAGGCAATCGGCAGGAAGCCTTGGACCTAGGTTTCGTGCTAGTTGGCACTCATCAGCAAGGCGTATCTGCAACCTTGAAGGAACTGATGTCCCTTCTGAGATTCGAACCCGCGTCACCCAGTGCTGCAGTCAGAGACGTTACCACTGAGCTATTCAGGCTCGCGACTGACCTCCTGTAGGACCGTATTGGATATTTTTGATTGAACACTAGTCAGTAACTAGTGTAATGTGTCTAGTCCTATCTTCGGTGCAGACTGAATTCTATCAGTCATGTTTGTAATGTGGCCACCATGCTAGGTGGCTCGCCATTACGGTGCACTGTGAAGACAGGACTAGACACATTACACTAGTTACTGACTAGTGTTCAATCAAAAATATCCAATACGGTCCTACAGGAGGTCAGTCGCGAGCCTGAATAGCTCAGTGGTAACGTCTCTGACTGCAGCACTGGGTGACGCGGGTTCGAATCTCAGAAGGGACATCAGTTCCTTCAAGGTTGCAGATACGCCTTGCTGATGAGTGCCAACTAGCACGAAACCTAGGTCCAAGGCTTCCTGCCGATTGCATCCAACCATCTAATACCAATAATTCACAGTGCACCGTAATGGCGAGCCACCTAGCATGGTGGCCACATTACAAACATGACTGATAGAATTCAGTCTGCACCGAAGATAGGACTAGACACATTACACTAGTTACTGACTAGTGTTCAATCAAAAATATCCAATACGGTCCTACAGGAGGTCAGTCGCGAGCCTGAATAGCTCAGTGGTAACGTCTCTGACTGCAGCACTGGGTGACGCGGGTTCGAATCTCAGAAGGGACATCAGTTCCTTCAAGGTTGCAGATACGCCTTGCTGATGAGTGCCAACTAGCACGAAACCTAGGTCCAAGGCTTCCTGCCGATTGCCTCCAACCATCTAATACCAATAATTCACAGTGCACCGTAATGGCGAGCCACCTAGCATGGTGGCCACATTACAAACATGACTGATAGAATTCAGTCTGCACCGAAGATAGGACTAGACACATTACACTAGTTACTGACTAGTGTTCAATCAAAAATATCCAATACGGTCCTACAGGAGGTCAGTCGCGAGCCTGAATAGCTCAGTGGTAACGTCTCTGACTGCAGCACTGGGTGACGCGGGTTCGAATCTCAGAAGGGACATCAGTTCCTTCAAGGTTGCAGATACGCCTTGCTGATGAGTGCCAACTAGCACGAAACCTAGGTCCAAGGCTTCCTGCCGATTGCCTCCAACCATCTAATACCAAGAAGAAACACTAGCGATGAACAAACCAACCAGGAGCTGATCGTTCAACAAATATGTAGGAGAAAATGAGGATGGATTGATGGGGCACACACGCCACTGAGGAGGCCGTCGGTCGAATTCCATCGCACGTAATGCAGACCATTGCTCGAGTGGAACCGCAATGGGAAGCGATGAAGTGGGTGGTCAGTGAGAGGGTGACATGAAGAGACGGTGTGGCGAGGAGATGAGGGATTATGGCCAGTCGTGGCCTCAGCCAGATGAAGAGGATAGCAGAAAACAGAAGTGTTGTTGAAGCCCTATGTTCCACTCGGAAATAATTATTTATATACATATATATATATCAGTTCGTCTGTTTCAGCGGAGCTACTGCTGGCTATCGACTAAAAGGCGTTTGTATTGCTCAGCAGTTCGCTCCGTCCTCCTTTATGACTGTGAGACATGGCCATTGAAAGGGGAAAACATAAAAAGGCTAGTTGTCTTTCATCATAGGTGCCTGCGTTCTATCTACCGTGTTAGGTGATGGTATAACAGGGTGAGCAATATTGAGGTTAGGCATCTATTGAGTACTAGGTAAAGAGGGGAAATCAATCAACAAGGTTGTGAAGTTACATGGATTGAGAGAGATGGTTAGGACATGTGTTACACATGCCCAGTCTAGCCATCGATCGCCTTCCTAGATAACGGGCAATGTTACCTGACTGACAAAGGATGGATCAGTTCGGAAAAGAGTTAGATAGAGGTGGTCAAAAGAAAAAATGGCTTCACCAGTCAATGAAATAAATCCACAACAGTCAGATTATGGCAGCCAGCCACGAAGGAAGAAAGATGTAGACTTCCTGACTGACTGGTTAGGGTCCTTGGAATGGTAAGAACCAATGAAGGTGGTGCAGATGCATCCAAACCTTGTAACTTGCAACATTCAATATAACTATATTGTTCTTCCATATTACTATTCTTTTTTCCTCATATCTCTGTTTTGAATCTCTTTTTTCTCTTGCTTTGTGTCCTAAGTGGAAGTGTGGCGACTCGAACTGCTGAACATCTGTGCAAAGTTCTATGTTGAAGTCAGTCAGTCGGTCATAGGAATATAAAAAATGGCTATAGAAAGTTGGGGAATAGTAATATTTAAGTAAAGGGGAATCGACAGAGTTGCTGTCATCTCCAATTTGTCCTTTGTTATTCAAAATATTGGGATCAGCAACCCCGGAGTTCATGCATAACCCAGATTAGAGTAGAAATTTCGATATTTGGTTTCACGAATACATGGGATATTTGAGTGTGGATTAGTAATCAGATTTTACTATAGAATCCACATGCTGTAGATTTGGTTAGAATTCAGTTACGCAGTACCCACACTAATTGTGTGTATAAGCTGATGATACTATCACCTCAGTTGCACAGGCTGAAGTAGACGGAGTGAGACACGAACCTGGGACCCAGTGACTAGAAGATGAGTGCTTAAGCCAATGAGCTATACCTCCAGACGGTGGGATATCTGATGAAACAATTTAAAAACACTCTGTCAGCAGTTGCGGTGAATGACAGTCAACCACCACTGCTCAAGACACATTATCACTAGACAAAGCTGCTAATGGATTAGAACGATAATACACACTCATAGAATGAGACGTTCAAGCTGAAGTCCTTGATATATCAGTCCAAGGCTGTGGATTTCATTTGTGGGCTGAAATTACCTACAGCTTGGTTACAGCATCTCCTTTAGAGATGTGTCTACATTCAGCACACTAAGCTGTTTCCTAAAACATAAGTGGAACTCCTGCTCCCAGTCGGTGAAGTACTTTGAGTTAGTGGCTGGATATACCAAAGACTGCATCACTCTTATTTGGAACTCGCCAATGGCTGGCTATTTAGCGTTTCTACCGTAGTTGACTAAAATACACGACCTATTAAACTAAATTCTACACAAGGAGATATCCAGTCATGGTCAAAAGAATGTGATGTTGCAGTGAAACACCTAGAATCCACTCTCACTTCTGACCTATGGATGCTACACTATAATGCCAAACTAGCCACTGTCTTTGCTGTCAACCTGTTCGCTTCAGGTACTTATTATAATCATCTCGTTACGAGGACTTTGACAATGAAGGTGTAGTGGGACCTCAAACCCATAACCCGCCAGCTGAGCCCGACTGCTTAAGCCAAAGGGTCGCACTTCCAGCGTAAGATGAGTAATCAAATTAGTTTACAGCTTCCACTATAAGTTATCGAAACTAAAAACAGTGTGAACGGAGGCATTAATTGTGCATCCAGAGGTTGACAGTGGTCAGTTTTACTACTATGAAACCTTCAAACTGTGTCACAAGTTTATCTGCTGCTCTGTCTACCGATGTTTGCACAAGTGAGACTTATTACCAAGTGTGTCAAGACGCATCTAATTTCTAAGTAAAAAGTCTTTCTCCAAGTTAATATCCGGATTTTTTTGTGGAAATGAAGTTCAGAAACCAGATAACGAAATGGTAACAGTTAACTTTAACCTGAAGGTCCTGGGTTCGAAACCCAGTGGGTGCGTACTGAAGATGAGTCCCCAACCAAGGACGAAATAGCCGCCCGGTACTCCCAGATTTTCTAATGATTTCCTAACTTATATAAATCCATGGTCAGACTTGAAACCAATCAAATCCCTAAAAACTAACCTCGTCAACGGTTTGGACTGATGTCGGTTTTTGCTTTGACCTCAACCTAATGTTATGTCAGCTGACATAGCTCAACGCGTGACACATACCCTAGCCACCACCTTAGTCGACTTAGCTTCACAATGTCATTGAATGATTTTTCCCACCTAAGCTAATACACTACAACTCACCTCAATACTAATCGCCATATTGTACTGCTTAACGCAGATGGAACTGAAACAACTGTGTTCAAAGACAACTAGTCTCTTCATGCTTTCGACTTCAGCGGTTACGTCTCATTGTCATAAATCACAGCAAAGCGAACTACTATACAGTACAAACACCTCTTGATCGTCAGCAGGATATCACATCTACGCGATAGATGATGCAGTTTAGCAGATTCCACACTAGCCTTTCGTATCTATGCCACGATTCCGTTAGCAGTCAGTCCATTAAGGTAGACCTAACTTCCTACATAACTGTAAAGTGAAACTTTCAAAGTATTGGTTAGTAGGGATTTGATTGATTGGTTACAGGATTTCATCATGAACTGACACATCGGTTAGAGAACAAATGAGAAACCAGCACTAGAGAGTACTGGACATTCAGCTTTTCCGTCAGTCTAGGTTGGGACTCTTCATCAGTACGTACCCACTGGGGTTGGAACCCAAAACCATTGCACTGAGTCCCAGTGGTTGAATGGTATATAAGCTTGCCTTGTAACGGGTTCGAACCCCGGCAGTGCGTGTGTACTTCCGATGAGTTCCAAACTACGCTGACGAAACAGTTGGATGTCCAGTACTACAGTGGTGGTTTTTAAATGGTTCTCTAACCGACGTCAGCTCATGATGAAATCTTGTAACGAAGTATTTACTGTTAAGGCTACAAAGTTCTAAGGTGTCTCTGATAGCAAAATAAGCCCTACAGAATTCGGGGGATGTACACAACTCTTCTTTATTAGTAACTATAGAGATGAACATGAAAAAAAACTGAAGAATTGGTCTGAAATTACTTCTTTAGATGCGAAACTGGAAGTACTTACTATCGGTAATCACTTCCAGCAGCCATACAGTACATGCAGTAATTCACCAACATACATGCGTTCACGTAATTAAGACATATACATATCAATAAATGACTACACATCACCTTAGTGACCGCTACTCAATACATTTCCTCAAGCCAATATCATTATAGATACTAAGTTCGCAGTGTCATATCCAATTCACTAGTGAGTTAGAAATTGACCAACTGACATGATATGATGATTTAAAAAACAATACACATCTACGCAAAGATTAACACTCTTGGGAACAAGTGTTCCTTACCGTTAAAATATTCTACAAGCGATGGCATCTCGTAAGTGTTCATCCGACGCGTTGAATATATCAAAATTTCGTCACTCAGTCAGTCACTATAAATCAACTGGTTTTGATGGGTCATTATTATATGTGTGTCGGTTAACTAGACACAACGATTTTCCCATCCTTCCCACACATTGTTATTATTCTCTTAAGTTCCGACTGGCACATAAGGCGTCAGCAACACATCTCCATTTTATCCTATTCACTATAGTCAACTTCTCAGCTGGCTCCACAATTCTACCCAAGCCCAACTAGTCGTTTCCCATTCACATTCCACTCGAGGTTATGTCTGTTGCTGACCAACTACTACTGACTGGTTTCAACGTATAACTACTTTGCACAGATGTGCAGCAGTTCCAGATACCACACTCCCCTCTAAGTATCACACAAAAGTAGCAGAAGAGAGTAAAGAGAGATAATAAAAAGAAATATAAGGCAAAAAAGAATAGTAGTAACATGGAAGAACAACAGGGCTTTATCAGATACTATAATAAATCACAAAGAGTGAATGCATCTGCGACATCATCGAGAACGATTTTGAAGCATATCACCAATTGTCTTTAGCCACTTTCATTGGTTCTTACTATCCCGAGGACGCCAACCAGTCAGTCAGGAAGTCTACACCCCCCTCCTTACGTGGCTGGCTGACCTAAACTAACTGATGTGGATCAATTTCACTGACTGATAAAGTCATGTTTTGGTTTGACCACCACTATCTAACTCTTTTTCAACCTGATCAATCCTATGACAGTCAGCTAACATTGGCTTTTGTCGAGGTAGGCTATCGATAGTTAGACCACTCATGAGTAAGACATGTCCTAACCATCTCTCTCAATCGATGTTATTTCACAACCTCGTCAACTGATATGCACTCCCACTCACTTAGCACTCGACTGAAGCCTAACCTCAATATTGCTCACCTTATTATACCACCACCTACCTAATACGGGTGGTAGTACAGAGGCAGACACCTTTGATCAAAGACAGCCAGCTAGCCGGCCTTCGCATGTCTTCCACCACCAATGAGCATGTCTCACTCACAGCCATAAAGAAGGACAGAGCGAACTGCTGTTGAACAGCACACACCTCCTTTGCTCGACAGCCAGCCAGAAGGATATCACGTTTACTAAGCCAGAGATGGCGTAAGTTGTCAGGCAAATGCCAAATAAGCCTTCTGTATCCATGCTGAAATTTAGCCGACGATCAACCCGGTGGCGTTGGCTGGCTGACGCAACTCCCCAAATAAGTGAAGTAGGTCAACACACTCTACCAATCACTTCACCGTTGTCTATCTTTAAGCTAGGAGTGAGTCAATGTAGACCATCAGTCTATTCCTGTAACCTCATCATCTTACATATGACGGCAGCGAATCGTATGCCAAACATGGTGCGCAAGGTCACAATCTCTTCCTCAGAGAAATTGTAGCAGTGAATTTCATATCCCTGCACATTTTACAGCCTCACTCTACTCTACACAATGTAAATGTCATTTTTAAGGTACACACAACATCACTAGGGTCTAATATCAAAAAAATTTCATCTCACACAGTTTGAACAAAACACAGACTGGCGTTTCACATATATAAACAAAAATCACTCACAGACAACAATGGTGATGATGATAATGATGATAATAATAGACAAGCAGTAAACATTTTTTTTCCTTCTAAAAACTAAAAATCAAAAGTATAAAATATAGACGGGGAAAATTACGCTTTTATTTACTAATAATCGAAAAAAGAAGTAATATGTACATATCATACAAGAATGAATGAATGAAAAACGACAACAACAGCTCCAAAATCATATTCTCTCTCTTTCTCTGTTGTCTGTGTATGTGTATAGAAGAGGAGGTAAAGCCTAGTGGATAGACACAAGGAGTCTAGGGAGGAATATTTAGTAAACTATTTGTTTGTCTGTTAATTTTTTTCTGAAAAACCCGTGTATCATGAACATTAGAAATATAGAGGATTTCACACAAAAGTAATCAATGGAAAATATACACCCACACCAATACCCGCATCAACTAGACTGGTTTACTACTATGAATTTGGTCAGAGTGCCGGAATAATCTTGTAGTGAGGTGAGTACGGTGGTACGGCAGGTAAGTGAATGAGATCCACTGGTCATTTTATATAAATAAGTTCAACCGACTCAATAAATAATAGTAATGATAATAATAATAATAAGGAAAAATAAAGCAAGCCTGCAGGTCAATGCATATATATATATACTCGTGAAAATAATAATAATACAGTGAAAAATGGAAATCAAAAGACAAAGATAAGAAAAGAGTTTGTAAATTAGTTACGAAGTAGACAAAATAATAAAAACAAGAAGAAACAATGTGTCAAAGTGTGAAATCATGTCAGATAAAGAATAAAAATAGGACAAATAGAGAAATACGTACACATCTATCTGCAAAAATATATATATATAAATTAAAAATTCTACAAGTGCAAAAGAAATTCAGACAAATCAGTAGTGACAATTTCACACAGAAAAAAGAGAGAAAGAAAGAAAGAGGAGAAGGAGGGGGAGGAAGTAACTCTGGCAACACATACACACACACACAAAACAAACCACAACAATAATTAGTTGAATAATATAAGATAAGAAGAAAAGTGTTCCAGATGTAAACATGCACGCACACACATGTATAGAGAGAAAGACTGTTGGTGAAGGTGGTGAATAATAATAATAATAATACACTACTTTTTTATTCCCATAGAGCGGCAACATTTCCATGGAAAGTAGAAGCTATCGGACCACCGGCTGTAAATAAACGTGTCCCTGAAGGATCATATTCATGCGTGTAAACGGCCAGCATTCGACGTTGATTAAAAATTGTAGGAAATGAGAAAAGCTCAAAATTTAAATCGGCAAGAAAATTCATTCCTAAAGGGATAGGACGGGATTCACCAGCATCACCACCAACGCCACGACTACGACCACGACCACTAGATGATGATGATGATGATGATAATACAATTATATCATGGTTATTTATATCTACAGGATTTACAATGGCAGTGTCATCATTATTATTTGTTGCAGGATGAGTGTCATCACCGTCACCGTCGTCGGCATCATCGTTATCGTAATCATCATCATCATCACCATCACCATCATTGTTATGAGTATCATCATCTGGGAAATTAGATTCAGATAATGAAGAGGTAGCAACATCTTCCGTAGTAGTAGTAGTTGTTGTTGCAGCAGTAGCATTTTGTCGAATTATACCATTTCGATTATGAGTATTATTTGACCTTCTACGCGTTGATCGATTCATAATTCGATACATACTGAAAGCTCTATATTGACTACGTAAATTTAATATATGATTATGAATTCTATGTATATGTAGACGTAAAGCTTCACTTTGAGGTTGTTGTTGTATAGGACGAACGATGTTTGATGGACTTGCTATTAGTACAGGATGAGCTGGAGAGGGTGGTGGAGAAGGCACAGTATTCCAACCACCACCAGTTGTTGTTTGTGATTGTGATGATACAGGTCTAGAAGATAGAGTGTTTAACAAAGTAGCTACAGATGGTATTTCATAATCATCACAATTTTGTGGTTTTACCCAACCAGGACCAATGTCTAGTTGTATGTGAAGGTGATGATCACTTCTAAGATCATAGAAATGCACTTGACCACTAGACGTCCCATAGGATAAAATTGACTTAGAAAAATTAAGTGAGCGAACACCGGCTACATCTAAAGGAGGAAGAATACAACGTGCTTCAGATCCGATTTTGGTGGTGGAACAGCGAATATCAAATAAAAGTACACAGTGATGAGTTGCTAGTGCTATACAATTAGGTTCAGATGGCCAACGGCGGAGGGCGACAGCTTCCTGAAATGTATTTTAAGACCAAAAAAATAAAATAAATAAATAAGAAACATGCAAATTCTCTTTAATGATACAAAGTTATGATAAGAAAAATATATATATAACTAGCGATTCTAAAAACGTAGTGTGTGATGCTTCTAAAATTACTAACAATAAAATAAAACACAGAAATATCTAAAACAGTATACTTGGTGATCCACCAAGAAAACAGCATTTCTTGTCTCCTGAAGTTAACAGCTTCTAGGTTTTAGGATCCCGTATTAAACTGAGTCATTTTCAAGATTTCACAAGGCAATACTCATATGTGTCTTAACTATTTTTTTTATTCCTTTACGTTCCCAGTGGAACATAGGGGGCTTCAAGCTAGAGGCTTGAAGTTTCAGTAGCAGTGGTGATTCTTTTTTTCAGGATGGGGTTGCTAGCCACCTCATACCCAACCTTCCCTCTTTGCCAGTGCTGGCTTAGCGAGGTAAAGCAGTGCGTCCGTCGGCCGAGGATCGAACCTCGGATCACCTGAATGGCTGGCAAGCATTTTACCGCTGTGCCACCGACGCACTCTGTCTTAACTATTACCATTCAAATACTGGAAATACAGTCTTGCTTTTCGTTTCTTTTATACATGTTAATTTCCTAACCACTTATATTTCTTTCTGTTGACTTTCTATTTCTGTAGTGTTCAGAAGTTTCTTAGCTTCCATAGTTGAACTTTTGTGGTACCTTCTCTGGTGTTTTACTTGTTATCTGAAAGCGTTGAGTATAAAATGAGTGTACGGCATACACTGAATGCCATTAGGCTGTATAAATAAGCGGACTACTTACAGACCAACAACTGGTATTTGAAAGACATTTTCCAAATACTAATCAATTGTAATGAGCACTAACCACTTTTCCTTGTAGAGTAATAGTAATAGAGGTAAGGAGATCGTAGTTATGATGAGAAACTCTACTTGAAATATGACTCGAAATCTGTCTCTGGAGCAAATATCCATCTTACTGCATTTTCTTTTTGATATTATTTTAAGACCTTTGATAATACATTTACTCCTATTTCTCTCGCTTATATTACTTCCCACTTGCTGTTGTATAGATAAGATATATTGCAACTACGGTTGGTGTAGAGCAGTTTGGACCTATGTCGATAATACTTGTTATCAGATGTCAGTAGATGATCCAGTATGTCTAACTTAAGAAACCTGAATTTCAAAACAGAGTTAATATATGTATGAAAGTAACAACTACCAGTTTTTGTGAAATAGGAGTACCAACTGACTTATAAAAAAAGAGGTAGCCAGGAAATGTTTTGATGAAATAATATATTGCCGATGATTCCCAAACTAGGCTGATGAAACAACTGTCTGCCGGTACTCCTGTCCTGGTTTTTAATGTTTCCCTAACTGATATCAATCCGTGATTGACTCGTAAAAACAAAACTAACCCTTACAAACCAACTATAGAAATTTAATCTGATGCACGCTAGTGACTAACTGACTACAAGACGGAGTTTCCTGGAGTGGGGATGGATATCTCAGAGACGACAATGGTTGGGGTCGCGCTAAATCATGTGTTGGTAGAAGTTAGAATTCATGGGATGGCCATTAGGAGTAGGGTCCCAGTGACTGAATGGTATACGAGTTAGATTGCCTTGTAACCAGAAGGTCCTGGGTTCGAAACCTGGCAGTGCGTGCCTACTGCCGATGATTCCCAAAACTAGGATGAAACAGCTGCCTGGCGGTACTCCACTGCTGGTTTTCGATGGCTCTCTAACTGATATGAATCTTCCATGGTCAAACTCCTAAAAACAAACTATGGATACACATACATATAAGTTTAAACAACCTATTAGTTCAACAACTAGTCCACTGAACAGACGTGGGTTTATACTTAATCTACAAAAATGTAAATGACTGTTTATGCTTTTGGAAAATATAATACTACAATGAAATACATGGAGAACAAGTTGACTTGGAAATCGAAGTTTTGTTGACCTTCATAATATGGATGCTGTGATGAAGTTTCTTACCATTTCAGGTTTTTATAGTCATAAGAAATTATTCATCCACCTTACCTAACATATAGCTGACTGACTTCAACATAGAACTTTGCACCGATGTGCAGCAGTTCAAGTCGCCACACTCCCTCCCATGTAGCACACAAAGCAAGAGAAGAAAGTGAAAAGAAGTGTGAAATAGCGACAGTAAACAGAGATATAAGGCAAAAAGAACAGTAATATCGAAGAAAAATATAGTTTTATTGGATATTATAAGTCACAAGGAGTGACTTATAGACAAGTAACCAGTAAAAAAAGAACTATGCGATGTGCGCTGAAGGTTTTGTCAAATTGCCTGACAGACAGTCACGCCTGAAATAGCTTAAAGCAAGTAGGTCTTGATGTATTATAAGCCTGTTGTGATTGCCAATATCAATTCACATACTGACGCATTAATGTTCACATCTCTCATTTAACTCAACTGTAAAACAATGCAACCAAGCTGTTGATGGAAACTAACAAACATCTTAACCACTTTGGCGATATACATCGTCTTATACATTAGATTTCAGTTATTCACAAGAGATTTCCCTATGTTTGTCTGTCTGGATACAACATAGAACTTGGCACTGAAGTGCAGCAGTTCGAGTTGCCACGTTCCAAATAGCACACTAAGGTAGAGAAAAAAATGAGTGAAGAGAATCAATAGAGTTTTGACAAGTGTAAGAGTGAAACAGAATGAGTAATGGTAGAAAGGAATGTGAAAGATTACACAAGAGACTGAATACATCTGCGCCATTGACAACGATTTTGAGCCATGTCACCTATTGTCTCCAGCCATTGATTCTTACAGTCCCGAGGGCGGGCCCCAACGCAGAAGTCTGCATCTCCCTCCCTACCTGACTCAGTTTAACTGTCAAGGATTTCATGGATTGATGAGGCCATGTTTTTGTTTGGCCACCACTTACTCTTCTCCAACCTGTACCTATATCAGCTAGTAATGCCCGTCCGTCGGGGGAGGCGATGGTTAGACATACGCAGCACGTGACCTAGCCATCTCAATCTATGTAACTTCATAGCCTCTTCGATTGATTTTCCCTCTTCGCCCAACACTCTACGCCTAACGTCAACATTACTTACCTTATTATACCATCTAACGTGAGAAAGAGATCGTAGACATCTTTGGTCAAAAACAGTCAACCTTTTCATGTCTTCAACTCGTATTGGCCATGTTTCAGAGCCATAGAGAAGGACGGAGCGAACTGCTGAGCAGTATACACGTCCCTTGGTTGATAGTCGGATGTCACGCCTACGCCAGAGATGGTGTAAGTTAGCGAAAGCAGTCCTAGCTTTTTGGATCCGTGCTGAGATTTCGTCACCAATCAATCCGTTGGTGCTGATACAACTTCCCAAATAGGTGAAGTGGTCAACATGTTCTATCACTTCACTCCCTATCACTAAGCTAGGGGTAGACGTAGTCCAGTCCTGTAGCAGTATTTTACATTTTACAGGGGCAAATCGCGTGCCAAACATACGAAGATTTCCCTATGTACCAAACTGTGTGCTATATTTACTAACTGAGGAATGATGATACTACCCAGTTGTGTTGGCTGAAGTAGGCGGAGTGGAGTTCGAACCCCAGAATCAGACTGACTGAAAGTAGAATGGTTAAGCCAGTGAGCTACATTTCCACTGAGTTATCTCCACAAACTGCACAATGTTACGTCGGCAACCATCGATTGTGTGCAGGCAACTTAGACTAATTATACTACTTATAACGTAATACGCAAGTTTTAATGGGATTCTTGTGTACTGGGTTTATTCGAACACCAAAAAGGTAGTATCACATGTTTACGCAATAAGTGTTGCTCGCTACCAACTGTAAGTGCAAGTGGCTGTTGAGCAACATTTGTTACCGCATACCATAAATAGTTTAACAGCTTTATTCTAAATGAAAACAAAACTAACCGGATATGCATTCCTAAGGACCAAAGTATATATAGGACGTGTATGTTTATCTAGACCCATACGGACAGCATCATAAAGGTATAAGCGACGCGACATAGATACGACTGCCAAATTAGTCTGCGTAGGAAGGTATTCCAATGCACGGAAACGATCGTCTGCCAGGGATGACTTAGCATATGCAACTGGACTTTTGATATGCAATACAGAAGTACCAGATTTAATTCCAGCGTTCTTATGTATGCTGTTGTTAACCCTTACTGGCACATTTTCATCGGAAGATGGAATACGCCATAGAGCCAGTGATGAATCACGTGAACATGAAGCTAGACAAGTATCATCTAGCCATCGCAGATCAAAAACCCAATCCTTGTGACAATCCTAAAAGTTAGAAAGTAAAATGTACTGAGAATCAAATTAAAACAAAACCTTATCATCACATTGTTGAAAGAAAGCAGTAACTTTTCAAACGTACATCATATAAAGTAGTAGTAGAAACGTAACCGTATGCAAGTTAATGGAATGAACTGTGTGTTGACTGAATCATGGGTCTGACAGCAATGAAGAGTATGCGCAGATGCATAAGCTAAACTGTGTAGATGGGACTTACACTTTAAGTTATTGCTGACAAATTTCAGCTTATTAGGTCTAAAAGTACAAAATTCGCGGATGAGTTAGTTCAACACCATCCTAATGATTACAATTACACAATCTATCTCCTAGTCATATGAAGCCCGGAAAAGTAATAATCTAGGATGACGAAGAGCACGATGCAGGAGAAATGCTGTGCTGCAGATATTGCGCTGAATAACAACTTGAAACGACAGTCAGAGCATTTCAAAAAACAATTCACTTAGCTCACAGTTCTCTATGTTCAGTGAATGCTGATGCATGTAACAAATGGGAGATACAAGACGAATTTCCAGTATCAAACAGGCTTAAGACGCCCGGCCGCACAACTTACCCCATGGCTATTTTTAAAGTTAGTGATGATATATTGTTCAAGGAACTGACAGAACTATTCAGGGAAGTATGGGGAAAGTAGAATGTTCTACTACTGTGGAATGAATCTGTTAACCTGCCTAGTCATAGAAAAGAACCTATATAATTCATGTGACCATAATACGCGTATTAGTCTGTTACCAGCTATGTCTAAGATATTGGCTGCTGTCATGTTCTGAAGGCTTTGTACAATGTATGAGAAAGTGATTCGCGAAGAGTAGTCTGAGTTTCAGTCAGTTTGTGGATGACGTGATCATATGTTCACCTGTCGTCAATTGCTAGAAGTGCTACACATTGCATGGCAGCAATAGCCCCATTTCTTGATATTAGTGCTGCCTTTGATTCATTGGACAGAACCTCCCTCTGTGATCGTTTACAAGAGGGGGTTAATGAGAAACTTACCAACATCCTGAGAACCCCATACAAAAAGACTTCAGATAAAGTAAAGGCATACACTACCCCATGACCACTGTTTTCAATCGATAATGGGGCTAGACATGGTTGGTTTCTCTTTGACTTTAACGTCTGCAATACTCTGCAGACAGAAAATGTATGGTGGTAATGATGTAGATCTGCTGCCTTAGGTAACGCTTCGCCCCTGAGTATGCAGTAAGACGAGAGTTTTACTATGCAATAATAATGCGTCGTTGCAAGATTGGCTGGAGTCTGTACCTGCACTTACCTTTTGCAAATGAACTGTCAGAAGTATATATATTTTGATGATTGATAAAAATCCGAATAAATCTGCTGAAGAACCTGTGGCTTACACAACGAAACGTTCAGAAAAATATTGTTTTGATTTTCTTAACACGCTAGGATTAATTTAAATAATTTATAATGAATCAATCTGACTCGGCGCTCAAATTATTCCAGGAAGTTCGTAACACCTACGGCCTGGAAACCTATAATGTCAGAAGTAGCATTGTGTCTCTGTGGTCATGGGAGTACTGGAGGTGAGATGGATAAGAATGAAACCCCCAGCCGTACGGTGAGTACCAGGGCGGCATACATCAATCTAGTCCACTTCTGGAGAAATTTATTCGTACAAACATCTACATATGTCTCAACGTGTTGCGACTGGCGACTCTTTGGTTTTGTTGCAAAATATAATGATCTAAACTGGGGTGCTTTTGTGCAATGTTCTGACTTCGTCTCCTTGGGTTAACATAGTGATTTTGGAAATGAGTAAAGAAATGTGCTCCTTATCTAGCATTCTGTAAGAAGGTAAGGCCTAAAATTTATCCCTAACTACTAAGAATGAAATCACCAGTAAAGTGAAGTTTAGCTGTGTGTTTTTTTGTTTCCTACAGATTTTAACAACCCACACAGACTCTAGATTGTCATGTCTGCAACACCTGTTTTAAAACTGCTTGCTGTCAGTTAACTTACCAGCCATGAATCATTAAATCTCACTGACTCAAGCGAGCCAGGTTAAGAAAATTACATTGGATGATGTAAAACCGCCGTAAACCTTGCTCAGCATTTGGTACTGTCTAGGTTAGACTGACAATGTAACCTTAACAACGTGTCTTGACCTTCCAGTGCTGCTTCTCAAAAATATTTATAAATCTATGTCAAATTTCTCACTACTAGAATGAATTACGGGATACTCGACCACGGCCTTTACTAATCCGCACTGTTATGGTTCCCAGATTATTGATATATATAGAATGACCACAAAAATACGCTAGTGTGCCCACGTTCCCCTGGTTCGATTCAATAAAAGGTGCAGAGTATGCAAAGTTAACAAGAACTTACGGAAAGCAAGCAGTGTGGGGAAAATTCCGTTAGTCTGTAGACGCCGACATGATTGACATTATCTCCTCCAGTTGCAAGGAAAGTTTTAGACGTATTGAGCTGAATAGAGTGTATTCCACAAGCGCAACGGTTGATAGGACTCGTCGCATCCCTAAAAGATTAATAACGGATAAATTTTTTCCATACTGGTTTTCCGATTTGATTAAAGGAATGTCGAAACTTTCATTGGAATTACAATCATACAGTACCAAGTTGTTACATTTAGTACCGTAAACAATATGGTTGTTAGTAATCCATTGGCAAGCAAATATTTTGTTTCTGTCACCAGGACTCAGGGTGCGCCTTTGCCATACAAATGGAAGCCTGGATGATGACTCCGGAATTTGATTTATGTCAATGCATTTAGTCCCTCTTAATTCACGGGAACGGAGTAAATTGATAACCGACGTAGGTTTCTAGAAAGAATCAATGATTACAGTCGAAAATCAAACACTAACCTGCGGACCATGTATCTCATGTCTGGTAAGGTGCACCATAAAGACTATTCCAAAGAGCAACCAGAATCCAACCAGGTGTAGATAACCGCCTGAGACGTAACTTAAAACACTTCAAGGTCAGGCAATGATATCCGATATCCAATAGATTTTACGAGCCAATTTAAACCAAATTGACTTCCTTGTACTCGCTTCTTGGTTGAAAGTTAAGGGTTCCCAGTCTTGGGTAAAATATCATTGCTTTGGTTGACTAGATGGTATTGGTTGTACGTGGTGTGCGTCGATGGCACAGTGGTTAGGACTCTCGCCGACCATGCACATGGTCCGAGGTTCGATCCCCTGCCGACGCACACCCGATATCTATGGTCGGCCTGCAAAATTTGGGCTACCGATATCCATGCTGAAAATTCCATACTTGTACTGAAAATACGGTGTGGCATCAAGCTGTAACCAAATTAATAAAAAATAGTACCATGTCGCTACTCTTAATGGGGTTGATCCTTCCACCTGTTAGTCGTCCAGTAAGGTCGAAAAAAGAGATGGCAGTAATAATAATAACAGATATAATTAGTGTAGATTATGTAGAAATAAGAATGAAAAACTACAATAAGGTAGATCACGAAATGTGATTATTAACTAGATGTATTGGCAGATGATTCCCGAAAATTATTAGCCTGCAGCATTCAGCACTCAACATTGGATGCTGACCTTCCCTGTTTAGGCCAAATTCCTTAGCTAAATGCATTAGGCCGGGCATACACGCCATTCGGCACTCTGTCGTTTACTTTCAGTTGTTCGTGCACGAATTCAGCTAGCTAAGCAATCATCCTCTCACTGCGAATTCGTCCCGAAATATACTACGTACTTTGAACGTTCAGTCTGGCGTTTTCGCTCGTCTCTGGTCTAGGCGGAACAAATAATATAGAAGTTGGGGGTATAAGACCTTGTGTTAGTATACGTCGTACTGCCCGTGAACGTCAATACCCTCAGCCTCTAAATATATATATATACACGACAAAATTAGTGAATGAATAGGTGGAGTAGTCAAAACAGTGGGACGAGGGAGGATGGGCAGCAGTAACAGGACGAGTTGAGGAGTATACCCATTAATAGTGTGTGAGTATTAAGGGGACATGCCGTTTGGACGCAATCCTTGTGCAGCTGCATGATTGTCTAATCTCCGCTTAAATCATTCCATGGACAGTGAAGTAGCCATATCTGCTTGTAAGCTCAAAGAGAAAAGAAGTGGGGGCGCACTCCAATCTCATGCGCTATGCTTCGTCGATTGTCACGAGGAAGCCCATATTTACTTAATAACAGAATCCCTTTGTTTGGGTGATTCTGGTTATTTTCATTTTCGTAGGAAGTAATTACGTCATCCCTAAGATGAGAGTAGATGAGTGTGAAAAGACTTAATTTCTCCAATCTTTCATCATGTGGTTTATCCTGAAGACACATCACTCCCTTTTTCGCCCGTCTTTAGACTCATCCCAAAAGATCAGCGTCCCTTCCGAGTAACAGGGGTGCTATAATGCACTTCAAGTTGTGGTCTCACGTATGTTCTGTGCAACTTTAGAAAAAGCTCAGGAGTGGGCATACTTAACTGCCTGTGTGTAGAGCGTATGACCACATATGCCCTCGCTATATCGCCCACGTAATTGATGCTGGTGTCTATTTTTCCATTAGAAACAGACCTAAGTCGCGCTCTGATGTTACATAGGACAAATTATTGTTACATGGGTAATGGCTAAGACTCTGAGGCCTAAAAGTACATAGTTGCACTACTTTGCATTTTCCGGGTCGAAATTCATACCGTTGACCATCTCCCAGTCCTCCAGAAGTTTTAGGTCTACCTGCAGCCTATCTGAGTCTTCCAACCACTTCATTGCGCTCCAAGTATTTGTAATCCACCAAACACACTTGGGTTTTTTGCCAATGCGAAGCCAATATTTCTATATTTCTTGATGTGCTCCACTGAATGAACAGTTAGCAGATTGTTCCCACAAACTAAGGACAAAAAAGACAGCAACCATATAATTTCAACAAAGACGAAATTTATGTAATTTAAATAATACTTATCCATGTCTGTAAAACTGGTGTGTCCCATTTATATAGGAATAAATATACATATTATTGATACACAGGTAAATCTTTACGTCAGCAGTGTGAAGAACAGTCGGATAGTTTAGATGGTTTGGCAGGTCATCGGCAAAAATTAAAAGCATCTGTGGCCTCAGGATAGAACCCCGTGACACTCTCGATGACGACTAGTGTCAGGATGGTCCTACACGGATGATACTGGTGTAGAATTCCCTTTTGTCTGGTTAGTCCCCCAACCATGAGAGAAGTGGGCCACCAATACCCGCCTGACCTGTTTTGTGGAGAAGACAATGCTGAACTGCGTTAAATGCCTTCGCGAAGTCTAGGAAGACCACATGGACTGCGAAATTCATATGTCACAATCACACCAAGCTGATGAAACATTTTCAACATATGATGTCAATGATGGCGAACACCGATTGGAGGTTCAGTGAACTTGTTTGATCGAACCAGTTTCCTGTTCTTTGGGGGCAACATTCCTTGTCGTGGCTTAGACATTTGCTGGTTGCCAGACGACCGGAGCATTAGGATCAGAATGCAGATAATATTCTCAGTTTTTGTGCATAACGGATGCCAGATAACAGGCATCATCAATATGATAAATAATATATACATGGAGTAAGTACATTTACATTTAACCAAATACACGAGAGATATATAAGACAAGCCAATGGAATAATAACTGTAAGGTCACTTTGTGCAAACAGAAGTAACGTACACTGTATAGCACTGAGCATCGTCATTGAGGAAATCCAATCAAAATGCATGTCATATTTGAGGGTTGCATTACTGGTGATAGGTATGGTAGGCGATTGATAGAGTGAAAAAATCGTCTCGCAGAACGTTACTTAGTTCCCCGGTAATGCACTTAACTGTACTAACTCCCAGAGACTCAACGGAGTGGCTTCATTGCATATCCCCGCTATTATGCTTGTCGCTACGTTGCTATGGGTTTCAAGTTGCCTTGGTTTTGGGGGAAGATTTAATTGATGTAATATTGCGATTTCATAGACATAACTCAGGCTCATACGTGAAAGAAAGTTATTATCCTGTAATAAGGATGAGTTGTTCAGAAGGTAAGGAGGACGTTATTTTTCAGTTTATTTGTGTATATCCTATTGTGCACCGAGGTGCACTGAGTTCTTAGTGCGACTGTATGTATCTGCATTTACATAAAGTGAAACATTACGAATGCTCCTGTTCCTAGAATAAAAAAATTATTATTATCATTAAGTTTAGCAATGAAGAATGGAATTTCTTCAACGTCAATGTTATTTAATCGAATTTGTAATCTGTGTAGGCCCTTAAAGTAATAAATTCGGCATAAATAACTCCTATGGAAACCGAAATTGCTTTTAGTTTACTAAATCTGACTGACTTCCCGTATAAATTTGATATTTGTCAAGTGTTTACTTAAAATCTGCTGGAGTATTCAGTAAAGTAAAAGTTGTAGTGCATAATTCCTAGGCTTGTTGTTGTCACTGGTATTGCCAGGATACCACTTACTCGTTTTATGCAGCCGAAATATCCAGTTCTCGCTTTATTGAGGAAAAACTATAGTGCCTGCAAACGTATTGCGTCAGTTAATGAGTTTCATAAAGTCTACAGAATGTTTTCTATTCACTGAATACTGTTTGCGAATTATCCGAGAAAACACATTTCCAAGTGGGATGCAACACAAGGCTGATTTCTTAAACTTTCATCCTTATATCAGTTCAATTCGATCACACATATATTAGTAGAATAGTCTGTAAGTGACTTTAGAGACTTATCAGGGAATAGTCTCATCAACTTACATTTTGTGATGATATTGTCCACCTGGACTATGGGAAGTAACCCCTGATACTGGAAGACATGAAAAGAATACCGGTGTTTGATTATAGGTGTCTGTGTTCTATCTCATGAGTAAAGCAGTATAATATGGCGATTGCTGTTGAAGTGACGCATAAAGTGTTAGGTGAGGAGGGTAAGTTAGTCTTTAAGGTAGGAAAGCTGAATAGGTTGAGATGGCTATAACACGTGATGGCATACCAAGCCGTCGCCTTCCTCAGGGGACAATGTTAGCCAGCACATGTTAAGGTTCAAAAGGTATTTGGGTCGGCCAAATGAAAACCTTGTATTGGTTCATAAAATCGTTGACAGTCAGCTAGAAGAACTACTAGATATATGTCTGCAAGTCTTTGTTTATGGCACAGATGCATTCACTCTGTGTAATGTCACGTATCTGTTCAACTCATGTTGTCACTATTTATCCTCCTTCAAATTTTCGCTCGTTAAACTCCCATTTAGTTTTATGTCTCTACCTCTGTTTGGTGCATGGAATGTGGTAAACTAAACACTTGGACTTCTTTGCGAAGTCATGCTGAAAGCCAGGTAGAATGACACAGGCTAGGCATAACTGAATGCGAAACATTGAATAATGATCTTCAAAATGTCAACAGATGATAGGTGTAGTTCTTAATCTGGTTCTTTGCTAACTGAAAAATAGATACCTTTCAGTAATTTCTTCTCCCACCCGGGACTCGTCTACTACTTTGCAAGTGTTTTTTGTGCTTTGTCACTTTTGTGCTAAGCTTTCAGTCATTCAGCATTCGCCGTTGTTGTTGTTGACTTAGGACCTAGATGACATTAGTTGAGTAAGGTTTCGGTCGTGCAAAAACGAGTCCTGTGCAGGTGATTGGTTGCATTATCATTTCCCAAATGGAATGCAGCATCGAGTTGCACTGCGATTCCACATGTAGCAAAAGATTATAATAATAATATATATTTCGTATAAACGGGTAAGTTTACATGAAAGGTATGCCATTTTTACAGGCACGATCAATTATGTTACGAATTACAATTGTGAATTAGCATACATTATCACTTTTTCAAAAAGTTCATATTGTTGAATTATAGTACAAGCAATCGGAACAGATTCTTATAATTGTTAATTTGCAAATCTTTCACGAACGTCTCCATCGAATTTGAGCGACAACCCATACTTCGTTCCATTTCCTGATGATAGTAATGGCCCATCG